CCTTCTCGTCAATAAGCGGGTGGTCCGCAGGCATCGTAAGGTCCTCCCATCTCGTCTGGAAGAGTTTTTTGGGGTTCTTCTGCTTGCCAGTCTTGGGGGCCCAAGGATCATCAATCTGCAATTGGTCAACCTTAGTCGCACCGGCCTCTGACTTGCTGGTGGGTTCTTTGTGCTCAGTGCCACCACCAGCTGCATACTGCGGCACTCCTCTGTCAGCAAGGAGATGGTGAAGGAAGTTCGTCCGCACCAGGGCAGCAAAGTTGGAGATTCTTGGAAACGAGGAAGACAATTGCCAGACAAGCCTTGCTCTCTCAATTGTACTTCGGATGTGCACTCTGAACCTGGAGAGATTGATGGCCTGCTGCGTCTCATTTGCGAGCGGTGGAATGGCAATCCGAAGTCTCTCACAAAGGGAGTGAAGTAGGACCCATCCACACATATTGGCCTCAGGGTTGCATCTGATAATGTGAACTTGGCAAGTCAGCTGAGCTTCATCGATCTGAGACATGATGAAGGTGGCCAACGGCCCCGCAAGATGGGCGAGTGCATCAGGCAAACTCATAAAGAGTGCAATGGAAGCATCATTCCTGTTGGCATCAATCTGCGTCCAGCACTGGTCAATGAGGACAAACCATGTCACATGTTGGTAGGCACGGAAGTCCCGGCGCACATCATTGAAGTATACAATGTGGCCAGTGGCATAATCCCAGCTTCCAGGTGGCATGAAGCAGCATTGCGGCCTCACAAAGCGAATGGTGTGGAGAATGAAGTCTAGCTCATCTGACCCAAGCCATCCCGGGTAGTGGTTGAAGTGCTGAATACGATGGTGAAGATGGCTATCAGGGCTGTCGATGTGAATGAACGGTGTCTCAGCGTGATCAGGACTGTGACCAGCATCATCAAACGCAACGTGTAGAGCATCAGATGTGACCGCATTGCCTCGAATAGTGGTGGTGGCAAGAAAGCTGAAGAAGGCTCTTCGGATGTTTGCAGCAAAGTACCACAAACCATGTGCAATACCATGTTGGTGCCAATCTTCAATAGCATCCTCAACAACATCATCAATCAAAGCACGCATGGCAATTGAGGTGGAGCCATAGAGCTCGGCATTGTGAGGGATCTGCTCAAAAATGCCTGCAGCATTAGCCCATCTGTGAAGCAAAGCCCAGCCACAGAAGTGAGCAGAGTCATCAAGAGGAACATGGCTGTATTGCAAGCGATCGGGAGAGATGTCAAGTAGTCTTGCCACAACTTGTAACCCAGAGCGAAGCAAAGGTCCAGGAAGGCCAACAAAGGTGACATGCGTGGTGGCGCCATCTCGCTGAATTTCAAAAGCCAACCAATGAGAGCCCGAAAGGATAGGCAAAACATTGAGCCGGTTGTTTGCAATCATGATCTCCTGATAGTCATTCTCTTCCAGGTTCGCAGTTTCAAGGTTCCAGCGAACAATTGGGTGGATGACCGCAAACTCCGGTGCAAGCCAGGAGAACTGCCGCAGCGCAAAGTCCATCTCATCAGTGGCTTGCCGGCCACCTGTGTTGCTCGCAAATTCAGCACGTTGAATAAGGTTGGCTCCAGCTGGCAGTGTGTCAGTACGGGCACCATGATGCCCTCCACATGATACATCAGTTGCAATCCGGAGCTGGAGCAAGTCACCGTGATCAATGAGGACTGGATAGTTGGAGACTTCTTGTCCATTGAGTGCAGCAATCATGTAAAGCTTGGAGTCAATCTCGAAAGAGCAATTCTCAAGGCTGGGAGCCAAAAAGAATCCACAAAGCGACCCACCACTCTCAAAGATAACAAAGATGAGTTTGTCATCGGAGTACTTGTTGAAAATGACCGCACATGGTCCAACAGATGCTGAGTGGCTATGATCATTGAGCTTGAAAGCCAACTGGTTGGAGTCCCCATCAGCGAAAGCCCAGAATTCATGAACGCAGCGAAGTCGGTCAGCCTCGTGGGAGAGCCCAGGCAGGGTGATAGTGCACGGAAGTGAGCCAAAAGCAATGGTCATGTCTGCAGTACCGAGGCTAGGAGCATCCAGACAATGGTTTTCAAGATACTCCAAGGCAAAGTGAAAGTGCCGATCCTCAAAGAGCACTTGGTCCTCGACAAGGAGGAGTTGAGTTGGTGTCTGGTCAAGAGGTTGAAGCACGTTCGAATGCTGGCCGTCAGGGCCTGGCCACAGTTGCGTCGAGGGACACACCAAAGGGGCCTTCGAAGCAAGCTGGATAGTCGCAACCGGGAAGCCTTGGAGGAAGACTGTCCACTGTGGATACTGGTCAAATACTTGCCAGAGTCGTGCTCGAGGAGGGAGAGTCTCACCTGTCGCAGCAAGATAAATGTGCCCAGTAATGTTGAAATCCCATGTGAAGCAACCCAAAAGGTCATTGACAGACCAATCGCGAGAGGCAGGGAACTCTGTAGCTCGTCCACCCTGGTGAATGCAGTGGATAGTGAGGCATTCTTGGTGCGATGTGACCTCACTGCGGACACAAATGTCATCAATGATGGTGGAAGTGCTGGCAAAGATGTAGAAGTTGCCTTCCTCAATGATGACCGTCCTGGGCCCAGTAAGCCTGGTGGTCCACACCTCATTGACAATCTGAACTACATCAGTAGGCCACTGGAAGAGGTACTTGAAGCCTTGAAGGAGAACAAAGAGCGCATGCGGTGTAGCAATTGCATTCCCAATCTGCCGGTAGAGCACATCAAGCTTGGAGGAGAAGACCGAGGTCTCAAGCAGACCAAGAAGGCCCGCTAGCAAGGCAGGATCCAAGAACTCAGGTCCAAAATCTCCTTCACGAAGTGTAGCAAAGATGCCCTTCTGCTCAAGACATGACCTCGGTAACTCATGTTGGAAACCATATGAAGCACAGACAGTGGGGACCGGTTCATGCGATTGCAAGTACCTCGAACGAATGATAGCCTCTGAAGGCATATCTGGTGCAATTTTCATGCGCTTTGACGGAGGCAAGAGCGAATGAAGTCCATACAGCACTTGGATAGACTGCGGAATGGTGATCTTCTCACGGAGACTGCGAGGCAATTGGAATCGAAATGCATCAGAAGTCCATTGCTCGAACCTAAATGCACGAAACTGGTCGGACTGGCTTTCAACATGCGAAAAAAGGTCAGCCCTGACATACACGGCGAGCCAACGAGTGCGTTGCATATGTGCAAAGGTACAGTATGGGAGAGTGCCCTCCCACAAAGCACGATAGCCAATGACATGCAAGAGACGACGAATGATTGGAAAGTGGGCATGGCGAGCGAGTTCGTCCACACACTCCAAGTTCAACATCGTGGGTTGGGCAAAAGCACACTGTTTTAAACAGTCAACAAAAGTCCACCCTTCAAAACAGTTTAGACCTCTTCCAAGGCCTTCCCGGCTCCATGAAATGCAAGGAGGCGATGCTGTAAAAATGAAATTGGCCAACGGCTGCACCACATGCAGCAGGCAAGGGTCAGCCACTTCCGCCCTCACAACTTTGTGAAGGGACACTTCAAATACAGCACTGGCCTGAACTGGTGCAGGCGTGACATTGCATCCATGCTTGCGAGCAAGTGCAGCGGTGACTTCAACATCCACATCAACAAACGTTTGCGTACCCAATCGAAGAGTGGAGCAAAACCGTGGCAACGAGCTGAGAGCTTGGCCCCATCCAGAAAAGGCACCTGAAAAGATGCGCAGACATTCAATCGCTTCATCAAGCACAGGCATGGTCTTTTTCAGGAGGATAGCACAGTGATCACCAGTCCAGAGGCCAATATCCTGGGTCGTGAAAAGGCCTGCACAGACAAAGGGATCGCCAGCAATCAAATTCAGGGACCGCTTGTGAGCATCGTGGATGCAGATCTTGGCTTCCGTCATCTTCTCTCCAGTAAAACCCTGGCCAGCAACAAATTGCATGAGGGAGACTTCAAAGATGTCGTTCACCTGGGACCAAAACGTTCCAGCCAGGATCGTATAGTGCTCCCAGCAGAGAGCCGGGCCATCGCCCACACCATGAAGGAGAGCCCTGGCCCTTGACCTCCAGGGATCCTCCAAATCACACAAAAGCAGATCTAAGTCCATGGCTCTATCCAAAGGAGTGCAAAGAACCTATCTACCTAAGTGGAAAAGGTGTGGACAGGAGAAGTCCACTCTGTAGACGCCTGCCCACAGCCGCGAGGCCGTCGAACAGGCCCCGGCCCCCGTGAGGCGTAAGCTCAAGGGTACTTGAACCCAGAAAGCTTTAATGGTCCATTCTGTTCATGTTTGGTGGTCAACCCAGGCAGCCCGGTTCGGACCCGCAGCCTTTCCCAGGCGATGAAACGGCCGCTGCAAACGGCCTTCCCTGGGTACTCAGAGTTTGAAACACTTACAGTACGTAGCGGACAAGGAGGCTTTGAACTGTGAAAAGACCTTTGATGGAAAAGGACCTTCTTCCGCGAAAGGGGTCTTTCTGGAAAGGATATGAAAGGTCATTTGGAAGGCTTGTGGGGGCTCAGCGTGTTTGTGGGGGCGCGGTCTTGAACAACAACAACAACAACAACAGCAACAACACATCACTAATACAGACCCCTTTAGGAGGTGTGTGGGGCTAGAATTCCTACCTATTCGGGTGCTTCCTTAACCACTTAGCAGGGCGTGTCTTTTCTTTGGAGAGGTGCGGTTGTAACCAAGGTTGGGTTGCTGCTGAAGCATGTTTGTATAGCTTAAGCACTGCTCTCTGGAAGATGATACTTCGATATTTTTCGATTACCAATTGATTGTTTGATGCGGTGCAATGAATATTCCCTTCACACAGTGCCCTTCACACAATGCTGTTTAATAACCGTCGCATGAGAGGCCGGAAAGGTTAGTTGATAGGCTGTCCCACCCAGTTGCAAAAGTAGAACATCTGGTGTCTCAGTCAGCTAATGAGCTAACTGCTGGATGGAGGCCACTCAACTCTTCAACTTCGGCACCTGTCTTCGTTGCATTTCAGAAGCCGAACGGATCTGCGCCCGCCAGCCGCTAGCCTCGGTCCGGGTCTGCGCCGGTCTTGGTCTTGTGCCGCGGGGTACATGGCGAAAGCTGAAGGACGGGTCCTGCTGCCACCCACCGTGGAACCGGTGAAGTATGTGGCTTGGCCGAGGAACCCACTAGTGGTGGTTTCGGTGGTTGGGCTGAGGAGACTCAGGAGACCTCCACCACCGAGGTTGACATCCATTTGAAGGGATTGGTTCAGGGGTCAACTAGGGAGCCCTGCCGTTTGGGACCCACAGAGAGCCAAGTGGGTGTGTATGTGTTATATAGGGAGACATGGTACTGGGCCCATCCTGCCCCAGGGGGAGGAAGTTTGATTTGGCAACGAACCTTCCAGAAGGTCGTGAACTCGTTGACTGGGGGGTTTCCCTATTTTGTGCACAAGCAAATGTTACAAACCACATGTTGCATGTATACACAACTACCCAAAAGTACGTCTTGAGTCCTGGCGGACTTCACTGTGAAGCCCCGGGACAGCTTGGGACTGCACTAGCTCTGACAAACAGGTAGCTTGGGATATCGAATTGCTTTGGGATTCTTGCTTTCGCTTTCGCATGGAGTCTCTCCAAGTCACACTCGAAATGAACATGGGACCCCAGGGTCGAATTTGGGCGCCCTACATAGTCATTGCATATATACATATATATATATATATGGATCTATTGATAGATATATATATATATATATGCATATATATATCTATTTATATGTATATATATATATAT